CATAATTAATAAAATATACATTAAAAAATTTAGGAGGGATATCTCAGGAATAAGGAGTCCCAGCCCCACACTAGGCCTCCCAACCTAGGTTCCAGTGCCAGGAAGATCAGTCTGGCTCTGAAATCCAGTGGGGACTGAGTTCATGGAAAAATTTTGGAGTCCCAAGCAGTTCCTCTTAAAGAACCCACACACGGGCTTACTTAGACTGGCTCTCTCTGAATTCTAATACCTGGGTGGCAGCTTGCAGGGTACCAGTGGAATACATGAAGGAACTGAAGTGTCTGCCATTTGGGTGAGGGCTGGGGGCCAACAGTGCACCACAAGTACCCAGTTTTCTCCCAGACAGAAAGGTGTGCAGAGGCCATTGTACCTTTTCTGAATCCTCCCCGCACAGAGCCACACAGCCAGCAGGTGGATTGCTATATCTGAGACTCCATCAACCTGGCTAACAGTGTTTGCCCCACCCTGGAAATCTCCTGAGGCTCCATACCACCCAACTTACTGGCCCACCCAAGTCACTAACAGTGGCTTTTCCACAGAAATGGCTGGTCTTGGCTCATGATTCACAACGTCCTAAATCCTATCAGACAAACAACAGCCAACTTCAGTGAGCTCCTAGCCCCTGTACCTCTTGCTAAGTGGGCCCAGGCCCTGCACTAGCAGCAGCCAGTCTAGGTTCACAGCTTGGCTTCACCTGGGTTCTCCAAGCCTAGCACAAGTAGCAGCCATCTTGGATTGCTTTAGCACTCAAGCAGGCTGGCCCTGGGCAGAACACAGGTGGAAGCTGACCTTGGCCTGCGCCACCCAAGAAACCCCAGAGCTTGCACACCCAGTGGATAGCTACAGACCATGTGAAAGCACCACCACCCTGCCCCTGCACAGTTGATTCTCCATGAAGGGCAGAGATTGGTTGTCACTATTCACAGTCAATCCTTGCAGCTGACTGGCCTCGATACACCCTTTGCATTGACCTGACAACACCAATCAAGGCTCAACTACAAGAGGAGGGTGTGCTCAGCCTACACAAAAGACATACCTCGAGTACCCAGCTTGGGTGACAGGGGAGACTGTGCCACTGGACCCTACATAACACCTACTACATTTGGCCATGCTACCAAGACAGGGAGATATAGGAGCTCTACCTAACACATAGAAACAAACACAGGGAGGCTGCCAAAATGAGGAGACAAAGAAACATGGCCCAAATGAAAGAACAGAACAAAATTCCAGAAAAAGAACTAAATGAAATGGAGATAATCAATCTATCAGGTGCAGAAGTCAAAACACTGGTTGTAAGGATGCTCAAGGAACTTGGTACCTCACCAGCATAAAAAAGATCCGGTCAGAAATGAAGGATATACTAGTATGATTAATTAACATAAAGGACACAAATTATGGCAAAGTTCAATGTCTGGTAAACTCTATCCATTTCACATTCCATAGTGTGGATTTTGTCCTTCTCAATAAGTAACATGACTATGTAATATGTATTCCAAACAAGGACCCTTTTGAGTGTGAAAAGGGCACTATTTTAAAAATTCTTTACTCATAACTTCTGGTCAAGATGGCAGCATAAGCAGTAACGGCTCGCCTCTTCCCACAGCCATATCAAAATTACAACTAAAATGTAGAGCAACCATCACTCTGAACCATCAAAAATCGAGTTGAATGGAAGCCTGACAACTATAAAATTGAGTTGAATGGAAATCTGACAACTATGGAATTGAAGAAACCACACCTATCCAGACTGGTAAGAGGGGCAGAGATGTGGATGGGCTGGTCCTAAATCCACATGTGGAAGATAAAAATTCAGGAGGGATATCTTGAGAGCGAGGAGTCCCAGCCTCACAGCCAGTCCTTGCAGCTGACTGGCCTGGGTAAATCCCTCCTATTGATCTTCCAAAAGCAACCAAGGCTCAACTACAAGAGAAGGATGTACTCAACCCATATAAAGGATGCACCTCAAGTACCCAGCTTGGGTGATAGGGGATGCTGTGCCACTGGACCCTACAGGACACCTACTATATTAGCCCACACTACATAAGCTGTACCAAGACACAGAGTCAAAGAAGATTGACCTAATACATAGAAACAAACACAGGGAGGATGCCAAAACAAGGAGACAAGAAACATGACCCAAAATGAAAGAACCGAACAAAATTCCAGAAGAAGGACTAAATGAAATGGAGATACACAATCTATCAGATGCAGAGTTCTAAACACTGGTTATTAGGATGCTCAAGGTGAGGACCTCAGCAGCATAAAAAAGATCCAGTCAGAAATGAAGGATATACTGATTGAAATAAAGAACAATTTACAGGGAAACAACAATAGAGTGGATGAAGACAAGAATCAAATCAATGATTTGGAACCTACGGAAGCAAAAAAAACAACCAATCAGAACAACAAAAAGAAAAAAGTATCCAAGAAAATGAGGATAGTGTAAGGAGCCTCTCAGGACAACTCCAAGTGTTACAACATTTGCATCATAAGGGTCCCAGAAGGAGAAAAGAAAGAGCAAGAAATTGGAAACCTGTTTGAAAAAATAATGAAAGAAGACTTCCCTAATTTGGTGAAGAAAATAGACACGCAAGTTCAGGAAGCACAGTCCCAAACAAGATGAATGCAAAAAGGCCCACTCCAAGGCACATTTAAAATGCCAAAGGTTAAAGATAATTTTAAAAACCTTAAAAGCAGCAAGAGAAAAGAAGTTAGTTACCTACATGAGAGTTCCCATAAGACTGTCAGCTGATTTCTCAAAAGAAACTTTGCAGGCTAGAAGGGATGGGCAAGACATTCAAAATCATGAAAATAGGGACCAACAGCCAAGATTGCTGTACCCAGAAAAGCTATCATTTAGAATTGAAGGGCAGATAAAGAGTTTCCCAGACAAGAAAAAACTAAAGGGGTTCATCATCACCAAACCATTATTATATAAAATTTTAAAGGGACTTATTTAAGAAAAAGAAGAAGATCAAAACTATGAACAATAAAATGGCAATAAATATATATTTAGCAATAATTGAACCTAAAAAACAAACTAAGGAAACAAGAAGAACAGAGACAGAATCATGGGTATAGAGAACATTTTGATGGTTGCTAATTTGGAGGGGATTGTGGAAGAATGGATGAAGAAACGTGGGAATTAAGAAATACAAATGGGTAGTTATGGAATAATCATGGGGATGTAAAGTACAGTATAGGAAATGGTGGAGTAGCCAAAGAACTTACATGCATGATCCATGAACATGAAAAATGTTGTGGGGATTACCTAAGGGAGTGAGGGGTGCTGGGTGGAGAAGGGCCAAGGGGGAAAAATTGGGACAACCATAATAGCATAATCAATAAAATATAATTAAAAAATAAAAAAGTCACCTTTCTAACCATAACACAGGCTACCAAGGCCAAGGTAAATAGAGTCATCTGGTGACATGATATTTTGAGTTTATTATGTAGGATTTCATTCAGAGTTATAAAAATTTAAGAAATTATTCTGTTTCAGGAGCTGATCCAGGCATTTTGCTAGGCACCAAGATTCACACATAAATAAAGCTCAATCCCTGAATATGTCAACAGTGACTTATTTTTTAATCCCAATTGCCCAAAGTTTCTCATTAGGGGATTGTGACATGCATATGTGACAGCAAATAAATAATTTTCTTAATAAAGTTTGAACTTTATTTTTGAGTAGTTCAAGGAGGAACAAAACTAGTAATAATATTATCTAAGCTAGATGGTACACTGGGAGAAAATTATGAGGGTGTAGAAATAAGAGGTCCTGCTAGGGTTGGGAGATTTTCTGTTATTGCTAATAATTGCTTTAAAATGTTTTTCTCTTGCACAGCCTGGGTTGATAGGATTATAGAAAACCTTTCCCTGCTGTATGGCTCACCAGGGGGTGAATCAGAGGGATTCTTTGTCCACAGATGGAAACTCAGTCCGGAGGTCTAACAGGACCACGGCCTTCAAGGCACAAATGTGAACATGGTGACATGAAGTAGTGGCCTCCAGAGAACAGGAAGGCCAACCAAAAAGCTTCAAGGTACAGGTCAAGATGCTAGATTGGAACTACATGTAGCTAATTTCACCAAATGGAATCACCATTTTAAAAAGTATTTTGGATGTATCTTAAATTATTAATACAATTGGTCTTGGAGGATGGGGTTGGGGTGGGGAAGAAGGCAAAAGAGAACAACTCTTTTTTTAATAAGCTTCTTCTGTAAGTGTTCAATGTGGCCACAAGTTTTTTTAAACTAATTAAAAATCAAAAGTTTTTTAAAAACGGGTGCCAAAAAGGGGGTTGCAAAGGGTTTGTATTAAGCCATATTCACAGAGCACAAGGAGGGTAGTATCTGGCTCCAGCTGGGACACACGGAGGCTTCCAGTGGGGTTATGGCTTAGTAAGGCCTGGGGGCATGAGTAGAAATCCTCTGGGTGGGCAATGGGGTCATTTCTGAATTAGCCAGGTGGCTTCTCTTCCCCCTTCTGTCTCTCCTCTACCTTCTTTCCCACCACCTCTTCTTATTTCCTTTCTTTTCTTTGACAAATATTTACTGAGTACCAACTATGTGCTAGGCATGGGTCTGGACATTAGGAATATGTCAGTGAACAAATACATCAGTAAAATATATAACATGTCAGATGGTGAAGACAACTATGGAAAAAAATAAAACATCAGTGAGGAAGAGCTGACCAAGTGTTGTACAGAGTCTGTAAACATCAATAGACCGGCGAAGATACACTTCCCCACTTTGGGTAGTAAACTTCTCATATAAAAGAGGTAACATCAGCCCTGGCTGGGTAGATCAGTTGGTTAGAGCTTCATCCCAATATGCCAAGGTTGCAGGTTCAATCCTCAGTCAGGGCACATACAATAATCAACCGATGAATGCATAAACAAGTGGAACAACAAAAATCATTCTCTCTCTCTCTCTCTCTCAAAATCAATAAAAGTTATTTTAAAAGAGGTAACATTGTTCCATCTGCCAAGTTTCACTTACTCGGTTAGAATGCCATCTGCTGTGTCTCTTCCCTCAGGGGTATCCCAGGACACCCGGACTGTCAACTTATTTGGTTCAGCAATGCGTTCCTTTACACTTGGACACTTGATTCTAGGTGGTTCCATATCTGAAAATATAACCAGAGTATTCTCACTATCATCAAGAACCATCTCATTAACTTGGGGTTTGACACCTTGCATTCGACATGCCAAAAGCTCTAGGTACTCCACATTTTTTTTTAAATATTTTATTTATTTATTTTTAGGGAGGGAAGGGAGGGAGTGGAAGAGAGAAAGAGAGAGAGAGAGAGAGAGAGAGATCAATGTGCGGTTGCTGGGGGTTATGGCCTGCAACCCAGGAATGTACCCTGGCTGGGAATCGAACCTGGGACACTTTGGTTCCCAGCCCGCGCTCAATCCACTGAGCTACGCCAGCCAGGGCTGGTACTCCACATTTTTAATGGTTTGCTCACCCCTCTGTATTTCTCTTCCTTCCCTTCATCTTGCCCTTTCTCTCTTGATGAGTTTTGAAGATTGCTTAAGCACTCACGTGTGCATGGGTAAACCTGGATAAACCAAATCAATGGGCCTTGTTAGGTGTATTATGGCATAACTTATTGGCTATAGCTTCTTCTTCCCTATGTTTCTAAATTCTGCCTACTGACTCGGTAATATGGCAGTAACCCAGCTAAATCTAGAAGTCATTCAGCCATATTGAATACCTCCTGCTTTAAAAAGAGCATTATAAAATATTACAGAAAGGTACCTTTAGCTATCATCCAGTTTTATTAAATTCAAGGCAAGAAGTCTTTAGTAAGTGCCTGCCTTAACCAAGGCATCCTTCCAACTCCTGTGGTTGAGATGCACTAAAGCAAGAGAATTGTGTGCTTCTCCGAGTTTATAGCCTATTAGGGGCATTATGTCAGCACACATATAATATAACATGAAGTACAAAGAGCACTGCCCTTGGAGAAGTAAAAGAAAATACTACAGAGACTTATAGGAGCCACCCAATGCTCTCACTTTACAGGTGTGGAAACAAGTTCAGAGAGCCCTAGTGATTTACTTAAGGCAATGCATGTAGATAATGAGTATGACTTAAAACTCAAGTCAGACCCCTTAGCCCTGGAATGAACCCTCTCTCCTCTGGCTATGTCTATTGTCAACATATTCTTCAATATATTAAAAAACAGTGCTCTGTCTGGGTCCACACTCCCCTTTAACTGCCACTGGACCACACCTATGATTTGTGTTTTGGGACAGCAGTTTTACTTTGGCTCTACACTGGTTTGGATTTTATCCTGTTATAGCTAAAGTGAAATCACAAGAAGGGGAGTTCGAAGTTTAGCAAACTCTACCTGATGATTCTGAACATGTGGCCAATGTATTTCAAGAGGTCATAGCAAATTAACAATATTCAGATTTGCATTGCTTTACATTCTAACTGATAAGTAGTTAAATGTTACCACAACCTGAGTAAAATTGTGTCATTTGATTCTGAATCAAGCATCTTTGAGAGAGTAAAAACACACCAAGTGAAGTCTTCATATACTTTCTCCTGTGTCTTGTCTGATAATTTCTCTTTCTATTTAGGATAGGAAATTATTAATCATTTGTTAAACAGTGTTGTCTTCAGCTATCCAAATTTATTTTTAATTCTATGTCATGCTTCCATAGAGTGTGAATTTACAGCCTTAATACTAATACTAAGATGACCACCATAGTTTATTGAGTCCAAGTCACTATCAGTTGTGAGATGCAGCCAATTTCAGGGATGTTATAGGGTAAAAAAATATGCTTCTTACAACTGATGAAATAAAGTATGTAAATGTTATGACATGGAAGGTGCTTTAAATGCACTTGAGGTGTCTAATTTCAGTTGCTAAGCTTTAAAAAATAATACTTTTTCTCTATAATAGGTAATAGAAGACATACTTTCATAATTCAGATGAACATTTCACAGTTTAGGGTGAATCAGAAAGACAAGTATACAATATCTGCCCCTACTGGTTAACTATAGCTGGCAGATCTCATCATAGAAAGCATATTTATTTTTTAAAAATTTAAAGCCCAAGTGCTCATTAGTAAGTGAGTGGGGAAAAAAACTGTAGTAGCCTTGGCTAGTGTGATTCAGTTGGTTTGGCATTGTCCCGCAAAGCGAGAGGTCACTGGTTCAATTCCCAGTTAGGGCACATGTCTGTGTTGCAGGCCAGGTCCCCATTGGGGACCACATGAGAGGCAACCACACATGATGTTTCTCTTCCTCTCTTTCTCCTTCCCTTCCCCTCTCTCTAAAAATAAATAAATAAATAAATAAATAAATAAATAAATAAATAAATAAATAAAATAAAAAAGATTCTCTCCTTATAAAAAAAAAACCTCACAGACACAGACAACAGTATAGTAATTACCAGAGAAAAATGGGGTGAGGGAGGGGTACAGGAGGCATAACTGGTAATGGAAGGAGACTTGCCTTGGGGTCTTGGAGTGGTAAATACACAATACAATATACAGATGAAATTGTACACGTGAAGACCTATATAATTTTATTAACCAATGTTGCCCCAATAAATTCAATATTTAAAAAAAAAAGAAAAAATAAAGCAAGAAAGGAGGGTTAGAGGAGAGGAGATAGATATCAATGTAAAATTTCATTGTGCTACCACTTTTTTTTGGAGCAACATCATTAGAGTGAAGAGATTCTTTTAGTCTGTGTGTCATTCAAACTAAACATCTGGATGATATGCTAGGTTGTTTTCTGTATCAACTAGTCATACTGACATTGTAAGCAAAAAGCTCCAAATTATGTTATTTGGGTGATGATTCTGAGAGTTTTGCAAAGCCAGTTTATGTCCAGCTAACAATGATCATTCAAAACTAGCCTAGTATTTCAGAAGCAGTGCTTTTCCAAACCAGAAACAAGAAAAAAATAAATTACTAAAAATAATAGCTAATATTTACTGGACCCTCCTACATGCCCACCCCATGGTAAGTAGTATCTCTGCATTATTTCATTGAATTCTCACAACCACTCACTAAACTAAGGATTGTTTTCATCATCCCCATTTATAGACTGGAAAGCATTTCCTCACTTTGGATTTTCTTTGTGGTCTGGGATTTTACGATATGATCAAATATTTTTAAAGTTATTTTAATAAGCCAAACACTTCTGTGTGTCAGCCTGCTGCTGCCCTACTTGTTTTCTTCCAACCCTTGCACACACATTCTTTTGCAGTCACTGGCTACAGCTTCCCATAACTCCTTGAAGAGCAGCAGCAGGACTGGATTCTGTTGTGTCCTCAAGCATTATGCCCTCTCTTTCAGCTGATGAGAACAGCTAGCTGCCCTTCGAAGATGCTCCGGAAACCTAAGCCTATTCTTATATAGTCGTGCCCATCATTGCTTCTTATGTTATTATAAATTTCCATGAATGAAATGAACAAAGTTGCTATAGAAACATAATGACAATTCCCTATTGAATCAGGATGCCCATAGAGCCTGTTATTGTGTGGAAATCCTGAAAATCTCATGAAAATGCTGGCCTCTGCCCCATTCACTGGAGACATCTGACAGACTGTGCTCTAGTTTCCTGTCTACATCTAAAATACCAGAAACAAACATATTGCTATATTGCATTGTATCAAACTCTATTTATCTAAGAAACTGAACTATGTACTTGGGATTGTTAACACATCTAAGCAGGTAGGTGGTAGAAATAAGAAAGAGGTTCAAATGTCCTGGCCAACAAGTAACTAGCAAAAAAACCCTTTTAAACTAAGGCTATAAATTAACTGTATCCTAAAATGTTTGGTTAAATAGTATTTTCAGTGGAGATCTATGTCTATATAATAACTTGTGCAACATCTTCCAAGATACATTTCAGTAATGATTTCTAAGCACTAATTTTGAAGAATATTATGGTGAATTTCCTGCAAAAATGGCCACCAATGATCTTCTTATGTATTTGCAGCTCATCCTACCAAGAGGTGGAGTCTATTTCCCAGTCTTTTGAACTTGTGTCAGTCACAAGACTAATTGCTTGCTTTGACTAATAAAATGCAAGGAAAATGACTCTGCCAGTTCCAGGCCTATGGCTTTAAAGAGCCTGACATCTTCTACTTTTATTATCTTGGAAACCACCTGCCACCTAAGGAGGTCCAAATGCTGACTAAAGAGGCCATGTGGAAAAGATGAGAAATTATGAAGCAAGAAAGAGAGAATGAGGCTCAGCCAAACTCTAGCCAGTACAGCCACCTCTGACAGATGCCAGACATGTGAATGAAGCCATCTTGGATCCTCTAGCTCCAGTCTGTCACTATGTGGAACAGGGGTGAGCTGTCTCCACCGAGTACTGCTCAAATTCCCACCCAAATAATCACAAGCAATAACATGGCTGTTTGAAGCCACCTAGTTTTGTGTGGTCTATTGTTTAGCAATAGAATGCTGATCCAAATATAAAATAGCTCGAGGTTGGTGATGAAGGAAGGAAGTGATTATGTCATGGGGCACAAGAAGAGTATGACTGCCAAAGGCAGAGCAAATCCAGACACTAAAAACTTTTCCAATTGTTTTCTTCCCCAGTGAGAGCATAATCCCCGTAGATATCTCTGGGAAGTGGTCCCATTTCTTTTGTACCACATAAGGTATTAGAAAACATTCTCAACTGGACAAAAGAGGCAAAAAGGAAAGCAATGAATTCCACAATTAAGAGATGTTTGGTGAACATCTTCACCAAAAAGATGGCCAACTAAAAAAATGGGTACAACTGTAATTGAACAACAATTTAAAAAATGGGAAAAAAAAGATGGCCAACTAAAAATTAATTGGGGATATATTTATATTGAAGATGGCCACTAAAAATTTACCTGTTCAGTTTGTACTAGCAAACCATGTCAGGTAAAAAGTGGGTCAGTATGTCAATCAAGTGGTTTCAAAGCTGAAACTGGTTTTCTCAAAGTTTGCAAAGAATATGAATTTGTCCACCCAGCAAAAATTTGGCATAATTTATGGTCATCTACAACAATGCACTGATACATTTATTCTTGTCCCCTCAATGTTCGTGTGTTCAACTGAATCTGAAAATAATGCAGTGCAGACCAGCAAACTTCTTTATGGGTGAACCCAGCTGTCTGATAGTTGGGAAGTCATAAAAGTATTCATGAATTTGCATATCTTAAATCTCGGAGATTTTTTTATTCCAAATTTCATTTGTGTTAACTCTCCATCTATTCTACTTTAGGAAATATAAAACAAGCAGAGGGCAATTTGAAAAGCAAAGTTTGTTTGTACATTGTTCTTCATTAAAATAACTAACTGGGCCTCTCTGCATATCAAAAGAAATTTACTGAGTTTTCATTGTCCATGGTTTCTTAAATTTCCTTTAATTTTTTTCTTCTTCTTTTGGCCTAGGAAGAAATATCGGCCTAAAGGAGAGATCATGTATCTACTCAAAATCTGGTCTCTCCATGAGGACTTATAATTTTAACTCTTCATTGTTCTATCTAAATGCCAATGTAACTAAAAATAACTTAAATGGAAAGAAGGAAAAATATTTCCCCAGAACAACAGTTGTTACATTCTAAGGTTTATCTCTTATTATTATCAATGGCAGTTGTGGTTCTTCAAAAATTTTACCCTCCCGAAATTTTCTGTGTGTTTTTTCTCCTACATTGACTTATTTCTGTCTATATCTGTTTCTGATTTAACCGTGGATTTGAATCTACTGCCAGAGTATGGTCTGCATAAGAGAATTAATCTTAACTTGTGGTACTTTTAAATTTGCCAGACCACAGAACTGACCACCTCTGAGTCAAAAGTCAGTCCAGCATTCTCTTTTGCATGCAGGTCTAGGAGAGAAGTGAGACAATTTCCTCAGCACTCAGCACAGCTGTAGCCAAGATGCACTGTTCAAGGTTGTGTGCAAATCTGGGAACTACTCAGCCACCATGTGACAGCTTCTAAAATAGGCTGAGGTTCTGAGTTATGTTCAAGGACCCTGTAGCCCCACCAACACAAAAACTTTTTAAACTAATTTAATACATTTAAAGCCAAAAGAGTCAGTGATATCCCTAGAGTAAAATTCACTGGGGACAAACTCCAATTTATCTGTCACCAAAATCAGAGAAAGAATTGCATGCTTGCTTTGTCCATTTCTCTCTTTTTCCTCAGAGCTCTATGCTCTCTTGTGACGCACTGGTGCCCTTTTAGCTACTCCTACCTAATTTCATGCACAATTTCCCTTCCCCCACATATGCCTGAAACTTGCCCTGGCAAACTCTAAGATAAGACCCCTAAAATTGGGGTTCATTTTTTTTAGTTCTTTCTCTCTCCCTCTGGGAAGGTTCCAGGACCATCTGGTGCAGCTTATTGCTTTTTGAGACTAATTAGCATTTTTTCCATTGTTCCACACAATCTGGACATCGAAATGGTATGATTCCTAGAGAACTCTTTGCCAGCACTTGCTTAGCAGAAAGATTTCTGAGCATCTCCTCCCATCACCTCTGCCCTTTCCAATGAGAGGGAGGAGAGCTTCAAAACTTTTTTAATTGTTTTGAAAAACTAGCTTGCACATACCAAGTGACAGGGGACATAATGAAAGCAATATCCATGAGAGGCCATTTTGACCTGAACATCTGGCTTTAGGTTATACCCTTCAAGAGGAGCATATTCAGAGTTCATAGTCCCAGCACCATGGTACCTGTGCTGGTTGACCAGGACCACTCTGAGGTCTTTCTTTTCACTGACAACTACAATGATTCTGGGAGAGAAGTTTAAAACCTCAGAAAAAGGTTACTGGGCCAAATATTCTGTTGATACTCAGTTTTTCTATAATCTCCCCTTTACTGTCTAGCTAAAAGCCTCAAAGTTACATTTCCCAGGTGGGTGCCAGATAGATTTGCCACAGAACAGTGCCTCCTGGGACCAGAGGGCAGAAAGGAGGTAAAAGCCATTATGCTTTTGGTAGGAGCATCAGTGAGGGTTCTCTAGACTCCTGAAACATCAACAGGAATGTTGCCTCGTGACTTCATTCTCACCAATGATGGCATCAATTATGGAAACATCAGTATCATGGGTGGGCTCATGGACTCAGGATAACACTACCATTCTACTTTTCCTACTCCAGCCCTTGGTTGGAATGACTTCTGCTGTAACTTGTCCCTGGTAACAGTTTTTCCTCTTTTGCTCCTTCAGCTCTTCCTATATTTTTGTAACCACTTCCCCATGTTAAATTTATTAAATTCCCCTCTGTTTGAAATACCTACAGTGGCCTTTGTTTTCCCAATTACTGGCCAATACAAACTGCTACCTAAATCCTAGAAAGAGAAAAGCCCAGAATAAATGTGAGTCAGTTGGTTATCTGAGTAATTTGAACCTGCTGCTCTTGTCAAATTGATACAAGGTATGATCCAGGCTGTGACTCTGGTATAGATGGGTTTTGACCACATCTTGGGCCAGGTCCCTTGGCTGTAGCTTAGTAACCACATAACTGCAGAGTGAAAATGGTGGATGCTACCAGGGAAGACAGTAGACAGGGTGTGTCATCATGAAGACACCCCAGGGACCAAGATTGGAGGCATTGTTGCGTATCTGCCCCCAGAGGGTAGCATCCAATTTCAGTCTTAGTCCTGAAGTATATGTCTCAGACACTGAGCAGTGAGGAAGGAGTGCTTGTGGTAAAGCACATTAGCAGACAGCTGAATAGTTCTCTAGACGATGGGAAGATCCCACAAGGGTAGGAGCCAGAGTACTATGGCCGGCTACTATAGCACGTCAGTGCCAGAGCTGTCCCTGGATTCAGGGATCAAGGGCCTGAAAGCCTACCTGTAAGCAACTTCAAGCAAGTCAGGTGACCTGTCAGCCCTCACCTGTAGAATGGGAAATTGGACTAGAATGTTCTGTAAGGATGGGTTCTGGCAGCTGTAACAGTTTATGTGGCAGCTTTGGAAAAATAGCAGGGGCCTAGATATCCAGATGGAAATGATAACCACTACCTACAGCAGTCTGTCTCAGCATTTTAAAGGCATAGGAATCCCCTAGGGATCTTCTTAAAATGTGGATTTTGATCTGCCAGGCTTGAGATGGATCCTCAGATTCTACATTTCTAACAAGCTTCCTGCTTGTGCTGATGCCGCAGGTTCAAGGGCATTATTTTTAGTATATTTTGACCTTTGAGGGCAGGTTCCCAAGCAGGGGTGTCCAGCCCACAGCCTATGGGCTGTATGTGGCCCAATAATGGATGTGAATGCAGCCCAACACAAAATTGTGAATTTTCTTAAAACATTATGAGAGTTTTTGGTTTTAATTAGTGTTTGCGTATTTAATGCGTGGCCCAAGACAACTCTTTTTCTTCCAGCGTGACCTAGAACCACCAAAAGATTGGACACCCCTGCAGAGCATCCAAGTTTCCTGGAGGGTCTATGAAAATGTAGATGGCTAGGCCCTACCCCAGAGTTTCTAATCCTGCACATGTGGAGTGGGGCTGGGACTTTGCATTTCTAACAAGATCTCAGGAGATAGTAATGTTGCTGGTCAGGGGACAACAGTTCCAGAATCACTGCTCTCAATGTTCCTCTATATTAGCTGCACATGAAAACCACCTGGAAAGCTTTTATAATGCTACTTGCCTCCTCCAACTATCCCACAACAGGCTAAATAAATCTGAATCTCTAGGGTAGAAGTAAGGTATTACTAGCATCTAAAAGATACTCGAGCAATTCCAGTAGGTAGCCAAGGTGGGGATCCATGCCCCTTGACCAGAGATTGTCAATGGGGCAGTGATTTTTCTTCTTCTTTTCCTCTCCCCTCCAGGGGATATTTCACAATGTCTGGAGACATTCTGGTTGTCACAACTAGGGAAAAAAGAATGTTACTGGCATATTGTGAGTAAAAGCCAAGGATCTGATAAACATTCCATAGTGCAGAGGACAGGTCACCATGATAAAGAATTACGTGGCCCCAAATTTCCACTGTGCCAAGGTTCAGAGATTTTGCCCTAGAGCATAGTCTAGCAGAATCCCAGGCCCATCCCAGACCTGCTGGGTTAGAATCTTTATTTCTACCAAGGTCCCCAGGTGATTCTGATGCATGTTAAACTTTGAGAAGCACTGCCTTAGATCAGTGGCTCCCTAAGCACTTTAGAGTCCCCGGGAGAGCTCAGGATAGCAAAAGTGCTAGACCCACCCTCTGATTTGAGAATTTGCATTTCTACAGAGGTTCTAGGTTGATGCTGCAGCTCCCAGGAGCACCCCATGAGAACTACTGCTCAACAAACCCAGAGTAAGGTAAAACATTCAAACCCCTTCCAGTTTAGCAAACTATGTGCTCACTGACTACTAGAGTCAGCAACAAAGGAAATCTGCTGGGTGAAAGACCCACAGATGCTCTCTGAAGGACTGCCCCTCAAATGTCAGGAGCTCTGCTCTGTTCAGAGCTATAAGGAAGATCCCTGATTTAAAGCAGCAGTAGTGTTCCCTCACTCTGCCAGCCTGCAGCTGCCTCGGTAGGAAACCAAAAAAGAGACAAATGTCAGATGACAGCCATCAGCTGCTAAGTCACTTCTGGAAGACAGAGACTGAGATTAGGTCTGAGCTGAACTAGAGAACTAGGGATGAAGGAAGCTACTGAAAGCAAAGCTGGATGCTAATGCTTTACACGTGGGATATTGATACTTCCTTTCAAATCCACTGGACAAACAGCCCCTGCTTCTTACAAAGTATGTGCCTCCTGAAAACTGTGAGATTTTCTTACCAACACAAGATGCTGGTTGGCCACTCCAGGCTTTGTTGTCCATACACGTGACTGTCCTCTCCCCTTTCAGTGTGTATCCTGGTGAGCAATAGTACTCACACCGAGAATTAAAGTAGGCACCATCTATGCATTTGAACCCTCCATTTGCTGGCATGACAAGGGTAGGACATCGCTTTTCTGAAAAACAGAAAACCAGACATTCAGCTTCTTAGGTTTTGTCCATAGAGTTTCACAGTCCAGAAACTCGGAAAGCATAGGGTTAAAAGTTAATTTAAATACAATGGACAGAATTAGAAAAATAATGGATGGTTACATGTCACACAGAAGGGTGGCTCAGAGTGGCTCAAGTTGGCATCCTAGGTAAGCCACTGTCTTAAGTTGGGTTCCTCAAAAACAGAGTCTGAGATAAGGATTTATATGCAGGGATTTAGTAAGTGAGTGTTCCTGGGGGAGACCAGGGAGGGGTGGGAGAGGCAGACCATTGGGTGAGAGGAACCCAGGCAAGGTAGGCTCTCAGGCAAAGTCAGCCTCAGACTGCTCCCAAAAAGGAGTTCTGGAACATGAATGACATTAGAATTTGTCCTGCCTCCAGGCAAGGAAGCTGGCCTTTCATAATCCTTTACCAGTCAGTATTGAGCAGCTATAGGTCCTCGCGGGAATGCTCTGCCTGTCAGAACAAAGAGGGAAGTCCTCTAAAGGAGCAGAGCCCTCTGCTTCCTCTGAAGAACATCAAATGTGCAAGTCATTAGAAGCAAAGCACTCAGAACCTGGGGGTGGGAGGTGGCAATGGACACGCAGGTTAAAGGGCATCCAGAGAGATCTGGATGAAGCACCAAAAAGTGTTCACTAGTCACACACTGCACAGTCTGTGTAGACCAGACCACATGGCTGTAGCTGTAAGCCTCAGTTTCCCTAACAATAAAGTTAAAGGAATGGCACCCACATCAATGGCATTGTTGGAAAAACCTGAATGTATGTGAAATGCTTGGCAAATAGTAAGAACTCAGTAAATGGTAGCTGTTTTGGAAAATGATGGTATCTCACATGTGCTTTGACAATGATGTACCACTTCTGCATATGACTTTTCATGAGGCTTAAAGCCACCCCTGAAATACCCTTCCAGTCTTCTTCCATGAGGTACACTTCCTTTCTGGAATGAGCAGCATCCTTCAGGAACTGGTTCCCTGCCTCCCAAATCTCTACCTCCTGGGAGAATACTTGTGTCCATTACCCCAGGTCCATGACTTAGCACCATTCTTCTCTGCTGTCATGGTTTACATCTCTGCTTCACTGTCTCTCACGCTATTCTGTGATACCCATGATGGCAGAGCCTGTGTGTGTCTTATTTCTAAATCTCTAGTGCCTTCAAAGAGTCCAGCATTTACTGAATAAACATAACCTGTTTGCTGAACAAGCCACTATTCTCTTCCTCTTTCCCCAATAGCTGATCACATCCTTCCCTCTGAAAGGTATCATATCACTTCCTCAGTATCTTAGAAATCCCCCTGCATTTTGCTCACAAGGGGAGTTTTTCTCATCAAAGGCCATAAAACATTCAGTAAAAAGCCTCTCAAAGAAAAAGATTCTGGCGCTAACTGGCCCTGAGGACCAACATGGGGCTGGACTACTCACGCTTGCAAATGACCTTGTCGGACCACCGTTTGTTTGACTGGCAGATCAACTGGGAAGAGCCATGCAGCTCATAGCCCTTCTGGCAGCGAATGTCACACCTGGTTCCCAGGGCTGTTTTGTAGTATCCTCCTTGAGGGGCCCTGCAGTACACATCCCCGTACTTCACCTTGATGGGAGAGCACCATGGGGTGTCTAGAGGTAACAAAAAAGGAGGAAAGAAACAGAAAATAACATCTTCAGAAAATAGGTTTCCTCATCCTAGAAGTCGCTGACTAGCTGCATTCCATATTGTGGACTTCCAGATAGTGCCCCATGTCTTTTAAGATATCTCTGTATGGGGAAGTTATGATGTATCTGAATACGAATTCAGGTTCCTCCATTACTACCTATGTGATCTTGAACAAGTTACTTAATCTCTATGAGTTGATACCTACAGCTATGTCCAGGCTCTTGTGAGAACCAAAAAATAATACATCAGTGCCTAGCACGGTGCCTACCACACAGTAAAGATTCAATAAATGCTTGTTCTTTTCAACATCTCCCTGAACTAGATACATAATTGTCTTCAGGGCAACTGGTAACCTTTGTGAACCCCAACCATCCATATATGGCCTTGCAAATGACCTTGCAGGTCCTGACAGGAATGTGACAGCTGTCAGAGGGAAGGGGGGGGTGTAGGCTTGGGAGAAAAAAACATGAAAGGATTAAGCAAAACAAAATAACATAAAACAAAACAAACAAAACCTTATAGACACAGACAATAGTATGGTGATTACCAAAAGGAAAGTGGGGAGGGGGAAGGTAGAAGAAGGTAAAAGGGGAATAAATGGTGAAGGAAGGAGACTTGGCTTGGGGTGGGGAACACACAGCACAGTACACAGATGATGTATTATAGAACCGTACCCCTGAATCCTATATAATTTTATCAACCAATGTCACCCCAATAAATTCAATTTAAAGAAAGAAAAAGAAAATAAAATAATAATTTGGATTTTTCCACATCTGTATTTATATTCTATAAAAACTCATAATACTAATTATAATTAATTTGAATGAAGCTACTATTTCCAGGTTTCTCCCCACAGTATATAATTTTGGCTTAAAGTAACAGAATCATTGCAACTCCCCTTTTCAGATGTTCCCAGATATGCTCCAAGTAGGTAAGAGAGTGACATCCTTCCAAGATGGCATAGTTCCAAGATATTTTGATTTTAATCTCATAGTTATCCAGAGCACAGTTAGGATAACAGTAATAAATCAGAACTTCTTCCTGTGCCTTTGGAAGCTGCTCACTGGGTGCCATAAAATTATTAGGGCAAGACTAGCTCCTCGGTGGAGAATTTCCCTCAGTGGGCACTGCACACTCACTGCGGCTAGTGAGGAGCTTCTTCAAGCCTGCCAGGCTTTCCCCATGCCATCACCTGAGCTGTCAGTGAGTGGGCTTCATGCGCCATCATGTGGCCAGAAAAGAGGACACACCCTGCTTGACTTTTCCAGGAATTCTCTTCTGAGGATGTTTCTAAGTGCTTCTCAGCCATTACCAGGCATGGTGCATAGACTGCTTTGTTACCTTTGTGCTGTCATGTTTCATGATTTAATGTTTTTCAGACGGTCCCAAGTGAGTCCTAAAGTCAGGACTCAAGCAGTATACCCTAAACATTCTGGATGAAAGCATTGTCTTGAGTGCTTAGTGTACAGCTGATTAAATTCAGCCACGTGGATACAGACTTGCAGGAGCTCACACCTGGCCTACAGACTTCCCTTGAACAGATTTACCTTCCTCTAAAGTTTACACATGTAGTCTATGTGCTAACATTGTTAAAAGAGAAAAATCTGGACCCTGAAGTGAGTACAAAACAGCACATGTATCTCCATTATTTTCTTCTACATATAAAATAATTCTTGAACCATTTTAAATATTTTAGTACTTTCTCTGGTAATGGCTCCAAGCAGGCCATGAAACTAGGTTTCAAGATCACAGGTAAATGGGAAGTCCTTCGAGTATGCTTGCTTAGCACTGCCCAGCTGTGTATATGTTTTCTACAATGAAAAGTCCTTAAGATAAATTCTGGAAAAATCCACAGATGGCTACCACTCAAACAAAACTGAGATTTGGAAACTACTGGTTTCTGTGACTACTAGAAGTCTCTCTCCCCTTTTCTTTTGTAATTGTAATAGAAAAAATCACCTACAAGGACATCCCCCAAATGCACTTAGTGTTTTTCATCTCCAAGAAGCACTTTTGATAGTTTGTCAGAGAACTTAAAATGATGTCACATCTTAAAAATCACCTGTTACTTTACCTCTTTATCTTAACCGTCTTCCCCTCTTCTCCCTAGCTTCCCCACTGCCTCTTTCCTTACTTGCCTTGCCTGCTCTGCAGTGCTTCCATGCTTCCCCATCTCTAGTCTTCTTTTCTTGCCACTTGGCTCCCCTTAACTGCCTCTTTTTCCACCATCTCAGAGGCCAAACTGTGAAATCCGTGGCTGAGAACTAAGCTCCTGGGAAAGAAAATAAAATCTCTACTGGAGGTGGGGGAAGAGTACTGTGGTGGGAGTGAATATGGAGACCCAAAGGGAGATGTTGAAAACGTAATGAGCTTGTGCAGATACAATATTGGGCAAAGAGTCAAGAGGCCTGGGCACACTTCTGAACTCTATCATCTTCTAGTAACCCTGAATGATTAACTAAATTTTTCAGGCAACCAGATTCCTTATCTTCAAGAGACTTGAGTGGATTAAACTCTTTTCAAAGTCTCATTTAGCTTTTATGTTGTATGATTCAAACCCTGTCTTATCTATCTCTCAGCCAATACCCATCTCATACCCATTTCCACCACCTTACTCCTTCTTATGACAACTTTGGGTAGTCTTGTAACCCTTCCAGCTGAGGGCAAATCTTTTTTGCATTCTGGGTCCTGATCATAATTGTACTGATATATAAACTGGAAGAATGTCCAATTTTCTACTTGTTTTTCACTCCAACGTTGACAGCTATCACATCTAGCTTGTGGACTTTGGTGTGAGTTTAGGAAGGACACAGTTTAAAAGATTTTATGTGTTTATTTATTTTACAGAGGCACAGGGAGGGATACAAACATGGATGTGTGAGAGAAACATCGATCAGTTGGCTCTCACATCCCCCCAGCTGGAGACCTGGCCTGCAATCGCAGCACTGAGAACTGAACCAGTGACCTTTAAGTTCACAGGCCAGTGCTCAGACCACTGAGCCACACCAGCCAGGGCCAATTTCAGAGTAAACTAATATGAGGCAGCATACCTGAAGTTGTTATCACACACTTTCTGGTTGTCTTTTCTACAAATATTCCCATGACAAATATTTAAGGCTAGCAGGTACATTAGAGGATGACCTGGGTATACATACATCACGAATTCACATATTTTGATACAACATGCAATTAGCAGATTTGGCTCCATATTCTGAGTCTTCAAATCCTAGTAGTGCTGGCTGTATATCCAAAACCTGTACTGTTGCCGACATGTGGAGAAGAATCTTTTAGAATCTATTCTAAAAAAAAAAGTTACTTTGGATTATTTTCCAAGACCAGTCTTTGGAATATATTTTGATAGTTTAGGGGCCCTGCAGTGACAGTAATTAAAATGTCAATGAGAGACTTGAATTTGAAGTGATACAAGCACTATGAGTTAAAGTGAATTAGCAAAACATTTAATGTAGAGGTTTAAGGAAAGGAAGCTCTTATGCTGCTTCAATTAAGATGAGGTTTATTTAGGGAGAAATCTAGATCCATTATTCAGAAAAGGTTTTTTTTTTTCATTTTTTGTGGGTCAATGTGGTAAGCATTCCAATTAAGTGAAATGCCATGACTAATGAGAAAGAACTAGCAAACTCGAGACACGGAGCTTAAACACCTGGATTTCAAACCCAATGTAATGTTTGCTAGCTGTGTGACTCTGGGCAAGTCACCTACCTTCTCTAATCGATGGTTCCTCCACCTGTAAATAAGGAATAAACATATCTCCATGTGCCTTATCCCTTCCATCATTTAGTGTGAAAATCTGATGGCATTCCAAGTAAAAAAATCAAAAGCAATGTTTGCCACATTCTGGGAACAAAATAAATGTGGGTTAAATTTCACTTTTTTCTTTTACTTAAATTAAATTTAAAACCACTTATTGAATATATACTCTGTGCCAGGCACTGTGCAGGGGCTGGAAGATCTAGCGCTAAATCTCCAATTAACAATGGTTGGTATCTAAGTTTTAAAGCTAAACCTGACAATACAAACAATACCTTAAGAAGTATTTATTCTTAAACATTCAGGGTATGCTTTAGGCAGACACATATTTTGACCATCTGGACTACCTTCCACAACTTCAATGCTGTGAGATGAGGACAAACACTGGGAACAATGATCCCAGTAGATCATTGGGCAGTAGACAACCTGTACTGTACATGTCATGTCACATTTGTATGCATGTGTTTTAGGAAGATTTGTGAAGCAGGGACTCAAAGGAAAAAAAAAGATTTTTTAAAGCCTCAATTAATTAAGAAGTGTTAGGAATCACAATACCTTCTTACCCCAAACATCTCATTAACAAGTTTGTGCTTTGCTTGACCGGTTAATTCCTGAAACAATTAGTATAGGAGCTGTGGATAGAAATGAGTATTTGTATTCACAGGTCAAAAGCAAATGTGACTATGGTGGGAGACACACCTGGACATAGGCACCAGTCATTACTTTAGAACGACTTTTCACTTGTGTGGGAAACAACTGAAGGACTCTCTCCAACCAAAGGCTGACCAGCACTACCCTGATTCTCTTACAACAGACATCACAACAGAGCAGGGCATTCTTCTATTGCCATAATGTGGACAAATTTCCTGGCCAAAATACCACAATGGAACTTTATTAACCAATTCCTTAAAATTATTTCTCCACTATAAAGGGAACCAGATTCAGAAAGAAATGATTTAAATTTACCTTCAAAAACTGTTTACCTTCACTTTTCCTAGGGCTCCCTATGTTTCAGAGAAACGACTCACCAGTAGAAATATTTGTGGGCATACTTACCTGAGCCTGCATAGAAGGTTCTTGATTAGGCTTTTTATACTTGGGTGGATTGCTGGAAATATGTAGAGATGAAATTCTTTACATTAGATTAAAGTTTCATGGGGCAACAGACTTTACTCATCATTTCAGGAGCCAAGCTGGACTCAGAAAGAGTACGATGAAATGAGCTTATGAAAATCAAGTTTTGTCAGTCCCCATTCATCTCACTACATTAGCAGCACTGGGCCCAGATTTGACCTTGGATAGTTTACTCTGGATGATTCTGGCTGTAATGTATGAATCAGGCTGAACTCATAGCTTGATTTTCACTTTCATCAGCTAGAGCTTGGCTTTGCAGAAATAATAAGTTTCAATAAAGAAACTTATGAGAATAAAATGACCACTGAGATACTGAAGGTCAGCACTTCAGAGATTTCCAAATGCTTTTTGTTTGCTTTCTTTAGTTTTCCTTTGTATTTGAAATTAATACGCATATTAATTTTAAATATGTTGTTTTGGACAAGTAATTAGAACTTAATTACATTGTTTGTAATTAATTACATTAATTACGTAATTAATTACATTAATTACACTTTATTATAATCTGCTATGCAGGGCAAAAAAGAAAGTTCTCCTGGCATCAGCAGGTCCTCATTAGCATATAAGCAAAGCATTCACCTTTATATCTAGGGTGTGAGTACCCGACTTCATCATCTTCTAGCGGTGAGTCTCCAGATCCTACAATAAAAAAGAACAGAAACTGCAGCAAGAAAAGCCACATGATATGGATGAATATTTCGAAGCACTGCTTTGGCACAGTCCATGCAGGAAGGGCTATTAGAACGCAGAGCCAAGAGTAAAAGCTTCTATGGCCATTCATGAAAGGACAGGGGACCTCTCAGAGTGAACCTGGCTGGGTTGGGATGACTAGAGCCAATCAAAATGAGCCTCAAACTGTTTGGGAATCACCACGTGCCAAATGAAATTCTGGACTCGGCAAATTCACTCTGAGAAGACGCCAATGTATATGAATCTCATGCCAGGGGAGACACAGTGAAAGGTGTGTGACTCAGACACAGCCCACAGTTTCTCCAGCAGTCAAAGAACACCCAGCAGAACTGCATGTTTATGGCACCTGAAAATCAGTCCATCTTGTGAAGTGAATTTGAGTGGAGCATAAGGAGGCAAATCAAATGTCTTAGTGACAAAAGAAATATAAAGCTGCTTTGGTATATTTGTAGGAAATGAGGACCAAAATCGATAATCTAGATGTTTATTCAGAACTTCTCATCAAGGCATGGCTAAAGTAAAACTTCTTGATGAGTCTTGCTATCCTTGAAAACCAAAGACTCAGTGAGAAGGTCTGTATTTAATAATTTTAAAATTTAAACTCATTTGGAAGTTGGAATCAAATCATTTTTAAAATATTAAATATTGAATTCCAGTAAATGGTAGATCCTTAATCTTTAAAATGGTATCAGGCCCCAAACTTCAAAATAGTAATCTTAAATCTAAACATCCTTCCTTCTAGACTTCCTCATCTGTTACTGACTGTTGAGTTGGCACCATTGTGGCCACACATTTACCTACAGGAACCTACAATCCTAACAGACAGAGATGCTCTCTATTATGAGGTTATTCAAATCCCCATACAGAATAAGTGATTGAGTAATGGTCTCTACTTCACTTGTATTCTGAATGAGAGATAGTGAGTGTAGAAATTGAAAGTGGGGAGTTGATGAAGGCTGGGCCATGTCCATTTGGAAAAGACCCCAGTTATATGTTCTGCTTTGCCCCAGGTTTCTTTACCTGGTTTCTGGCTATTCAGATAGGTAGAAAATTACACAAACTTTTCATTATTCCATACCAAAAAGTAAACATGAAAGCCTGTGATACTCTTTAGGAAAGCAATCTAGCAACATGAATCAAAAGCTTATGTTTGAACCCCCTGATCAAGTCATTCCATTTCTGGAAATCTATCCCAAGGAAATTATATTGAATATAGAAAAAAATTTACATACAAAGATTTCTTTGCAATGTCACTTATAATAGCAAAAGACTATAAAATGACCAAATGGCCAATGTTATGGTTAAATAAACCATAATGCATTCATTGGATATAATGAAATATAACCATTATAAAAATTATGTTTATAAAATAATAGTGTGGAAAAAAGCTTTCTTATAACATTAAGTGAAAATGTACTGTAACAAAGTTATATAAATGGTGTGATTTATAACAATTTAAAGCAATCAAATTCAAAATAAACAATGCATAGAAAAGGGTCTATGATAATTGGATGTTTTTCTGCTTCCTTCTCTTCTAAATTTTCTACTATAAATGTATTACTTTTGTAATGGAAAATAATGTTTATTATGCATATAACTCAAAGAAGCTTAGTTCTCAAGATACCTATTGAATATATTAGAAATGTTAAAGACTCTACTGCTTCTCCCCTTCCACCCTCCCCCATTTCTCTCCATAATCAGAGTTTAACTGGAATTCCACTAAGGATTCTTGGATTCTCCAACTCCATATGTCACATTTGTAAATGTTGGGAGATCTGTCTCATATTAAGAGTACTTTTCTCTTTCCCCAGCTCATCCTGGCCTCCATATAATCTACCTAGGCAGTAAGAAACTCTGCACTTATCCCTGACTTTAAGTAAAGAAGACAACCATCACAGGTTAAATTCTCTAGGAACTAGCTTCTAAGGTGGAGTTCAGTGCACAGGAATCAACACCTGTGAAAGGAAGAAGATGGAAGAAGGTCTGGACAGGCGGAAGTGTTGAGCTCTGATTTCAGCCCAATGACAGCCTCTCATGTTGGGCAGAAATGACTGGATCTTTATACCCTTGCATCAATCAGCCATTCAATATGGCCCACCTTGGGAAGGACATGAACTTGGGCTAAACACTCCTAACAGCTGAGGCAATCTCTGAAGGGACTGCTGGCTGACTGCCTGCAGTTGAGCCAACCAGTTTTTCCTTAAATAAAGATCTAGTCAGTGCATCTCCATGACCATCACAACACTCACTCTTTCAGAAATAATTTGAGATGAGTATACTCATTAGAGGGGTCCCTCCATACAGAAAGGAAAGGACTGAGACCTACTGAAGAGATGGGGGCACCTGAGGTGAACAGCCCAACTTTACTGGTACATCAGCATTCCAAGATGCATTTGTCACATATTGTTTATTATAGTGAAAATTAAAGTCTGACAATAGGGCAATGAATAAACAAATTATCTTATATCAACAAGCTATTTTATAGCCACTAATCAAGTTTGGAATAGGAAATGCATGTGAAACACAGCTAATAAAAAAAAGCAGATACTGTAAACTATATACATGATGAAATATGTGTATATATATATATACATATATGTACACATATATATATACTTATACATATGTCAAATTTGGAATATGATGAGACTACTGATACCTGCTTTAGATGCTATTATATAAGGATGAATGCCTGAAGCTATAGCAGCCATTTTACAACCATGAGGTAAGAAGTCTCAAGATTAAAAATTTTCAGCTGAAGATGGTACAGTGGAAGGATAAAAAGAACCTAAGGTCCATGATGACCTTATTGGGATAATAAATCAGTCTGAGACATCTTATCTCCATACTTCTTGTTAGATCAACAAACAATGTCCTTTCAACTGAAGCCACTGTGAGTAGTATTGTTGGTTACTTAAAGCTGAATCCATCCAAACTGACACAAAAATGAATGGAAAATTTACTGCCTACTATTGATAGGAGATAAAAGTAAAAAAAATTAGATATTATCCAGCCCCCTCCAAATTTCCAGTTTATATTCAGCCTAAACCCATACATCAATTTCTATAAAAAATGATGACCAGCCTACAAAATGGACAACCTGAAGGATACAATATCAAAGCCTGGCAACTTATTTTCAAGAGATTATACTTACTAAAGCTTACTAGAGCAGCAAAGGGGAAATATATTCATATATATTGAAGAAAGATTTCCCATAGGGTTAAAGAAAGAAAAAGAAAGAAATAGAGAAAGAAAGAAAGAAACAAAGAAAGAAGGAAGGAAGGAAAGGGAGAGAGAAAGAAAAGAGAAAGAGGTGAGGGGAGGTGTCCTAACAAAGTCTTCTTTGTTTACAAAAGGCCATCCCTTTAGAATTCTGGTTAACTGAGATTTTATTGTGACAACCATTAATCAGTGCTCATATGGTTTGGATCACCACTATTTGGAAAAAATGCTTCAGTGCTTCTTCCACACAAATACAAATTCCATGTTGGCTCAGAAAGTAGAAACTCAGTGCCTGTAGGATTCTGTCCCTTAGCCATACCTGGAGCCAATTCCATTTATAATTCTGCTCTCCTTATAGAAACTTCATCAAATACAACAGATTTTCAAAGAAAGAGCCATTTCTTTTCCCAAAAATTTCAAAAAAGGGTTTTCCTGGCCTGCTGAATCCTACCTACCCTCTCATTCTGACTGTCCAGGTAGATAACAACATTGACACCAAACTCACTTGTAAAAAATATCTATTAAATGTATTAGAATTACATCAGGAATTGTGATTTTTAGAAGGCTACTACAGTGCTCCTTCCACTACCTTAAAGTTTTCTGACTGTAAGGTGTGGCATGGGTGGGGTGCAGAGCATTTGACACTAATGGAAAACACTGCCAATTTGCTAAAACCATATGTTTCTTTACTGACTATGATACATTATCCAAATGTACAATTTTCTGGTTCTGTGTTATATTTTTAGCTCACAGGTTTGGGTTTATTTTTGTTATTCTGAAGACAGCTCTGCATTCTTAATGTTTTGTTGGATATCTTTGCTTTTCTCCATCATCATTATTCTGAATATAATTTTACTATCATTACAAGACATATTTAGCCTTTACTGGTGTCATTCAATGGATTGAGCACCAACCTGTAAACCAAAAGGTCACTGGTTTGATTCCCAGTCAAGGCACATGCCTGGGCTGCAGGCCAGGTCCCTAGTTGGGAGTGTGGGAGAGGCAACCACACATTGATGTTTCTCTCCTTCTCTTTCTCCCTCCCTTCCCCTCTCTCTAAAGGTAACTACATAAAATCATTTTTAAAAGAAGCCATATTTAATAGTAAACAGCAGCATCAATTTTATAAGTGCATGGGAAAATAAAATTCACTTTGCAGTGGAGATTCTTAACCCAAATCCCTGATCTCCTAGCAGGGGTGTCCAACTTTTTGGCATCTCTGGGCCACATTGGAAGAAGAAGTGTTGTCTTGAGCCATACATTAAATACATTGTGACATGTAATGACAAAAATGTATCTCGTAATGTTTTAAGTAAATTTATGATTTTTGTGTTTGGCCACATTCACAGCCATCCTGGGCTGCATGCAGCCCCCAGACACAGGTTGGACACCCTTGTTGGAGGATGAATGGAAGTGTTTTAGAGAGTCCATGTACCCCTTGTAATTGGATATGCCTTTTGGTACATGAATATACTTCTTTGTGAAAAAAGCTGCTAACTTTCAGTAGATTTTAACAACAGTATATGACCCAAAAGAATATTTCGTGAAGAAGTATGTGGTACCTGCTTGATATTTGACTTTTTAATTTGAGAGAGACAAATATATTTAAAACAAGGATAAATGCTTATCCTTTTATTGGATCTTCTTGGCTTTTTCTAGATTATTGCTGTCCAATAGAACTTGATGCAATGATGGACATTCTCTATATCTGTGCTGTCCAATAGGGT